TGGAGTGCATGTGCTTTGAGAGTTTGAAACTTGCAGCCCAGGGCCTAGGGTTGAGTCAGTACGTTTTCAACCCTCAAACCCTATAGTCCCCCTTAAGTAGATAGAATATGGCTTTGGGCATATTGTAATAAGATCCCCATATACCCCATGTTCTATCTACTTAAGGGGGACTATAAACTCGTAGCATCCCCCTTAATGACCTCTATAGTGCTCCCCTGAATAATCTTCTATACAACTCCTTTTCAGGAGTTTAGACTACGGTTTAGGCCTGATGAGACAAAGTTGTAACGACCGGGGCAGGGATGTTGCGAGGATTATGCTTGGCGCAAGGTTTAGGGTTTAGGGGTTTAGGCTTTAGGGTTTAAGGGTTTAGGGTTTAGGGGTGCAGGGTGTAGGAGTTCACATGAACATGCTCCTGAGCCCATACCATTCCGAGTATGAAGGCTTCTGCAAAGCGGCCGAGTGCGGTATCAAAGGGGCTAAATCCAAAATCATGAATCCAACTAATATCATGTATGTAAAGCCCGCTTGCCTACAAACACACCTATTAGAACATGAAGGCCCAGATATCTGAAACCTAAACTTGGGTTTAGGGTTTAGGGGTTGGGGTTTAGGGTTTAGGTTCCTCTTGGACACCTGACAACTACCCCAAAGATGACAAACCCCTTGAACTAGTGCTGTTCAACTCCTGAGCCCCTCCCCTACACCCTGTGATCACACCTACATAGGAGCCATAGTCTATACTCCCAACATCCCCCTTTGTCACCCCCTTAATCGGTAGTCCCCTAAAAAATCCCTTATATAACCACCTTTTACAGAGTTTAGACTCGGGATCATATCTCAGTGCCGTCTGAAGCACCCCACATGGACCGCTCCGCCCGGTGCGCCGGCAGCCGCATCGGTCCCGCCACCCTCACAAGTGCGACCTTGGTGGAGTCATGGGGATATATTAGAGTTACATTAGGGTTATATTGGGGTTATATAGGAGTTATATTGGGATTATATTAGGGCTGTGTTAGGGGGTTTAAGGGTTTAGGGTTAAGGGTTAAAGCTTTTTCTATGGGACCTTTTCTCCACCATCCAGCAGTAAGAGCGCTTTACAGCGAGGCCCAGTGCTCAACCCCAATCCACATACAGGTTCAAGGGAGCCCAAAAAAAAGGCCATTCACTGCCCGAAAATAAATTCCTCTCTCACTCACACCCCGCACGATGACCTGGTTCCAAGGCTCACTTCTCACCCTTCAGGATGCTGCAGTGGAAGTTCCGAATCAGGTCCCGCAGGTAAATCAAAAGCAGCTGATCGTGACCGGCCTGTCCCTGATCATCAATGAGATGTCCCTCCACCAAATTTAGCGACTCGTCAGGCTGAGTGGCTTGAGCCTCTTCCTGACTCGTTTCAGTCCATCCTGCTTGCCCTTGCCCTTGTTGTTCGGCATGTCCCTGGTCATCACCGCGATCATCACCCGCCAGGTTAAGGCTTTAGGGTTAAGGGTTTGGGGTCAAGGGTTTTAAGTTTAGGGTGTAGGGCGCAGGGTCCGGGTTTAAGGTTTGGGGCTTAGAGTGTGGAGTTTAGGATATGTGGTTCATGGGCCCCCATAGATTAAGGTCTTATTGGGGATGATCATTGATCATTGGTGCTACTTAGAGCATATTAACGCTTGTTAGTACTAGTTCGGGGAGTGCCTTTTAGGGAAGCCCATGGTAGTCCTAAGGTTCAAAGGGGTTGGAGTACTAGGCGTAATGACCATATGTGCCGGTTTGGTGAGGTGGAGATATAAGGGCTTTATCTGAGGGTACGACTCTGTTTCCAGAAATCCCAGCATGCCCAAAGAAAATGGGCCTAGAGCGAAATTTTGAATCGTCCAACGTCATCTAGAAGATGAGGCTGTTCTTAATGAGGCGGCTTAGGGTTTGGGGTTCAGGCAATGTAACTGTAGGATGTTCTAGGCTTCAGACATCCCCAAGGAATGGTACACAAAGATCCCGGACAAGCTACTGTGGCAAATCTAGAGGTCAACACCTCGATTGCACTAAGAGCTGTTGGCCACCATCTTGGTGCTCTTTTGGGAGGGATCGTTAACAGGGTCCAACCTCATCAGTGCTTAGTCCACAACAGCCATCACCCAAACGCTCAGGCGTGCAATGCATTAGACTGGGTGGGCAGCAGGTTGCTGGCCAAATAACGCGCCAAGCATGGGCCTCTAGGTGCGCAAACAAGATTCCCAAGACCCCCTTGGCTCGGTCCGAGCAGCTTGAAGCCTATACGTTGGGTACTGCCCCCACCCAGTAACAGTCCATATTAGGGGTCCTATTAAGGGATATATATATGCATATTATAATTATTATCCAACTGTTACTGACGGGGGCAGTACCCAACCTAAACGGCCTAAACCCAAAATTTGCCATCCCATACCATCACCCCTTGTTCTCACTTAACGAATCTTATCTGAGGATACTTCTGGCTACTTATGCCAATCGAAGGGGAACTTGGGGATAGTATAGGGGGGTAGTAGTGGAACCCATTTCAAAATTCCATAAATCCGAAACCCTAAACCCTAAGCCCCTAAACCCTCAACCCCTAAACCCTAAAGCCTTCTGAGCTCCCTCACCCCGAACCCCTCGCAGTTGTGCTGGATCAGGGAGGGTTGCGGAGTCTCCCATCGGAGCCTGGCTGTCATGTAACGTAAGGGCCTGAATTTTCAAATTACCGGTTTAGGATTTCAGGTTTAGGGCCAATCTTATGCCGAGGTCTATTTGAAGTACTCTAAACGATGATTTACTCTCTGAAAGCACATTTTGGCAAGTGCTCAGGCTTCTATGAAGGTGTGGGCGTGGACGCTTGCAATTTGGGTTGGGTTTGGGGTTGAAGGAAGGTTTTCTGGTCTAGTGCCCCACAAGTTGCAAAGCCCAACTATACTCCCTGTAAACCCCCTCAGCCCATATACCCAAAGCCGGAAGCAAATATAAATATAAACCTTGTATTGTACGTCTGTAACTCTACCCTGACTGCCGGTGAACCTCCAAAATGAGCTGGAGAGGAGGATGTTGGGCACAGCGTCTTGCTTACAGCGCTGGCATTCGCCATTTCGGTGGCTGAATTTGAGTTTGGGGGCGTAGAATTTCAACTAGCAGGTCCTAGCTGTGGGAGCCCGAAACAAATCTTGCAACCGCAATACTGGGCAGGTTTTTCACGCGTCCTGTGCAGGCTCCATCATCTCATGGCTTTGCCTTTGGCAAAAGCGCCTTCAGTTTTCAGGATGTCCGGAGGCAACCCTCGGTAGCAGCGCCAACATTTAGTGCTTAGAGCTTATGTAGATGCAGCCTTGGCTTCGATGGCCGCTGGAACGATGTAGAAAAAACTAGCACGCAAGCCACCTCACTATCAGGTTGTTTACCGAGGTTGTCGAGCCTCTGACACTAGTGACCAACAGACCAACATGCTTGCCCATTCCTAAGCTCATTCGAAACGTGCTGCATGCCTGTGATTAAACTCCGCCTACAAATGTTTCCCAAACTGTACTTGGCGAGTTCGACCACTATGAAATCTCTGCAGGCATAACTTGACACAGCGAATCCTACACGCTAAACCCTTAAAATCTAAACCCTAAATAGTAGTTTCCATTTCATTTTCCACTATCCCAGTATAAGCCCAGCATAACCCTAGTATTACCCCAATGGGAGCCCACTTGCAACATGCTGCGTTTTCCGATCCGATGCTCCGGGCATCACTGCGTCCATTTTCAAAGCTGTCTGCTTGAAGCCTTCCTCCTAGCTCAAACTGGGTTGCTGTTAGGGAACCCAAATTGAGTTACCATACTGGGCATATGAGCTACATATGGTACATAGGGTTTTGGGCTTAAGTTACAAAAATGGGTGTATATAAAGTAGTTACTATGGTTCCCCAATTTTGATAACTTAAACTAAGTTCCTTAACAGCAAGCCGGCAA